AGAGAGAGAGAGAGAGAGAGAAAGAGAATCAAATTTATTAATTTAAAATCAAATGGGATGAATATAATTTATTTAACACAAAATTGTAATAATTTATGTTTTAACATGTAATAATTTATAATAAACATGTAATAATTTATGTTTTATTATGTTAACATGTAATAATATGTAATAATTTATGTAAATTAATGTAACATGTAATAATTTATGTTTTATTATGTTATTTAACATTAATAATAAATAAATAACATATAACATAATAAAACATAAATTATTACATGTTAATAATAATTGTATTTTCGCGGCGACGTTCGCGTCCACGGCCACGCCCGCGTCCACGTCCTCGGCCTCTTTCTCCTCTGGCCCATCGTCGAGGTTTATTTATTGCTGTAAAAAATATAATTTTTATTTTTATTTAGTATTATTTATTATTATTCTATATTATTTTATTATTTTATATTATTTATTATTTATTTTTATTTAGTATTATTTATTATTCTATATTATTTATTATTCTATATACTTACGATGCAATATCTCATCCTCCAGTGACACTGGAGGAATCTCAGTAGCCACCACTACAGGCTGTGGATTGTCAGCAGCCACCACTGCAGGTTGTAAATTGTCAGCAGCCACCACAGCCTGCAGTGGTGGTTGCTTGGCCAAAGCAGCGGCCAGTTGCCGCTGCAACTCCTGCAACTTCCTCTTTAAATGCCGATTTTCGGCATTAATATCCTCCATGTCATTCTAAAAAAAGATATATAAATCTATATAGATATTTAATAACGGCAATTTCTCTTTCTCTCTATCTCTCTTAACCTCATTCTCTCTCTCTCTCTCTCTCTCTCTCTCTCTCTCTCTCTTTCTCTCTCGCGCTCATTCTCTAAATTTATTTACATTATGCTCCTGTGAAGTGCATGCATTTTCGCTGTTTCTCTCTCTATTGATTTTTGCAGGCTTCTGCAGTTTCCTCTTTGAAAGTAGATCCGTAATGATACAACTATTCTAAAAAAAGATATATATATAGATATATAGATGAATCTATATAGATTAATAACATACACACACACACACACACATATACACACAAATCTCTTTCTTACTTTCTCTCTCTTAACCTTATTTGCTCTGTCATTCATACACATACATATACACACAAATCTCTTACTTTTCTTCTTTCTCTTAACCTTATCTCTTTCTCTCTCTCGCTTTCTTTCTCTCTCTCTCTCTCTCTCTCTCTCTCTCACACACACACACACACTTTCTCTTTTTCTCTCTTTTAATATCATTCTCTATCTTTCATTCTGTCATTTTTCTCTCTCTCTTTCTCTTTCTATAAAATTCAAATTTACTTACATTATGCTCCTGTAAAGTGCATGCATTTTCGCTGTTTCTTTCGATCTCTGTAGGCATTTTAAACGATATCGTATATAATATTATATACTATATTATTATATAGAAGAAATATGCAGGACAGCTTCAAAAACAATTGGAGATGTGGTACGCGTATAATATGAATATTGTGGATAAAAAGTTACCATGGTGATGGAATAAATGTATTTAAATATTTATTAAATGTAATAAATGTGTTTAAATATTTGTAATAGATATTTTTACATTAATAATTACATTTTTATTACATTTTTCTTTTAATATATATAGATAAAAAATACATTATATAAAAAAGCTGCTGTGCGCTTTTAAAAAACGGCTGCTGTGCGACGATACAGAGCAGCTGTGCGCCTGTATAAAATAGGGTGCTGTGGGCCGACACAGAGCTGCTGTGCGCCTGTACAAAAAAGGCTGCTGTGCGCTTTTAAAAAACGGCTACTGTGCGCCGAGACAGAGCTGCTGTGCGCCTGTAAAAAACGGATGTTATCCGCCGAGCCGACACAGAGCTGCTGTGCGCCTGTACAAAAAAGGCTGCTGTGCGCCGAGACAGAGCTGCTGTGCGCCTGTAAAAACCGGCTGTTATCCGCAGATACAGAGCTGCTGTGCGCCTGTATAAAAAAGGTTGCTGTGCGCCTGTAAAAAAACGACTACTATCCGCCGATACAGAGCTGCTGTGCGCCTATATAAAGAATCAATAAAACAGAAAAAGCAAGAGAAAAAAAAGATCTATTAAGAAAATCGATATATTAATGCAAATAAGTAGTTTGCGCTCAGAATATATTTGAAAACTAATATAGATTTGAAAAATAATTGTATTTATTTACGTATATTGTTATTTATTTACGTATTGTTATATAACATTTCGTATAAATACCTACGGTACGACGTAAATAATTATGCCTCAAAAAAGAAAATACGGAAATTTGACTAAAGTGAGTCGCGAAAATAAACGCTTACGACAAATGCGCAAAAATGAAAGTTCGGAGGAAAGGTCTCAACGACTCGAAGCTAATGCTCAAAGAAATTCTCAGCATAGGGCGAATGAAAATAATGACGCAAAGACTAAATGACTCGAAGCTGATGCTCAGAGACATACTCAGCAAAGGGTCAATGAAAATAATGACGCAAAGACTAAACGACTCGAAGCTGATGCTCAGAGACATACTCAGCAAAGGGTCAATGAAAATAATGACGCAAGGACTCAACGACTC